GCCAATAGAGATTTCTATAAGGGTACCCCCCCCCTCTTTGTTTTTTTTTATCAAAAAATTCAAAGCTTGGGAACTAGATCCTTTCCCTACGAATCCCTCCTCGCACCGACCCTAAACTAGTCCGGAAATGGCTAACCCTAACCCTAACCCCAACCTTGTTGTTTTCTTTGACTTGACCGGCAGGTCGGATCGAGATGGAGCTCTTCGCCGACACGACCCCAAAGACGGCTGAGAACTTCCGGGCCTTCTGTACCGATGAGAAAGGCACGGGGAAGAGGGGTAAGCCACTCCACTTCAAGGGATCATGCTTCCACGATTTGGTCCCTAAGTATGCGTGGTTTGGAGGAGACATCACTCACGGGGACGGAAGAGGAGGCGAGTCGATTTACGGTGGTCCATTCGAGAACGAGAAATTCGTTCACAATCACGATGAAGGTATGCTCGCCATGAACACTTATCGTTGGGACAGCAACAAATCTCAGTTCATGATCCTCATGAAGAAGCTCCATTTTTTGAACGGAGAGCACGTCGTGTTCGGAAAAGTTGTGGAAGGACTGGATCTGATGAGGAGCATTGAAAAGGATGTCGAAGCTGAAAGCGGAATTCCTTCCAAGTCCGTGGTGATCACCGACTGTGGTCAGATTTCATAGATCTCAGAGAGTTTTATGCTATATATATATAATAGCAAACCCAATAAAATGAATATTTTTTGGGTGTGACTTGTTATTTGAAACCGTTTGGTGGTTATTTTTAAAAGTTGCGTCTTTTCAATATAACCGTTTTGTCAATAGTTGCATCTTTCTGATATAACCGTTTAATTAAAACTTGCGTCTTTCTGATATAACTGTTTGATGAAGAGTTACGACTTTTCGATATAACCGTTTTTTCAAAAGTTGTGTTTTTCTTATATAAAAACCGCTTTATGGTTATTTTCCAAGGATCGCGTCTTTTTGGAAAAAAAAAATTTTTGCCTACATAATTGTGTTCCTTTTCCGTTGAACTTTTTGTTAATCACGGCTACTAACTATTTAATTGACTTAAAGCATAAAAAAGATAAAAAGACATCATTCTATTATTTTGAAATTATTTTTAAATATAGATGTTTTTACTATTATATTTTAAAGTTAACAAGATTTTGCCAAGAGACGAGTATATATTCGTACATAGCATCATGCATGCGAGAGATTGTAGTATTCGGTGGCATGGTGTTGAAAATAGTGATACTCTTTTTTTTGTTTAGAGGGTCTATTAGTTGTGGAAGTTACTGAGATTTTACAAAAGTTTAAAATTTATATTTAGGTTATTCTATATATGATTCAAAACTTTAAATCTATATATAATAGAAAATCCAAAAATATTCTGGATTTTTCGTAAAAAAAATGTTTAGTGGTTATTTTTAATAGTTATTTTCAATATAACCGTTTTGTGGTTGCATCTTTTCGATATAACCGTTTTGTCAAGGGTTTCGTCTTTTCGATATAAACATTTTGTCAAGGATTGCGTTTTTTTATTATGATCGTTTTGTCAAGAGTTGTGTCTTTTTCATTATAACTGTTTGGTCAAGAGTTGCATCTTTTTGAGATAACCGTTTTATGATTATTTTCAAAGGTTGTGTCTTTTCGAAATATAACCACTTTATGGTTATTTCTCAAGGGTCGCGTCTTTTCGAAAAAAAATTATTTGCCTATATATTTGTGTTCTTTACTTCTTTTTCCGTTGAACTTTTTGTTAATAGTGACTACTAATTGTTTAACTCACTTAAATCATATGAAAGATTAAAAAAAAGACGGAATTTTATATTTCTATAAACAATTAAAACAAGTTTTAAATACATTGGAATGCAACATCAAATTTCCAACATAAAAGTAATGAAATTTCCAACTCTATTTTTCTCGAAATAGGTGGTGCATGTAGTGAGTTTTTTAATTTAACAATTATCTATAGAAACTTTGATTCTTTATACATGAAAGCAGTTTTATGGTTTGCAAAGCCGCGTAAACATTGTTCTAATGGTTAGACAAAGAGGTATGATTCCAATCCGTAAACTTCGTGTGGAAGGAAAAACGTTTCTCACTAACATTATTCATTCATCTCAACATAAATTGATGGTTGTATTTTTGGGTTGTATCTTTTCATTAATAACCGTTTTATGGTTATTTTTAAATGTTGCGTCTTCTCGATATAATTACTTTTTGAAGGGTTACATTTTTCCATTATAACCGCTTTATGGTTATTTCTAAGGGTTGTGTCTTTTCAATACAATCATTTTTTCAAGAGTTGCGTATTTCCGATATAAAACCCGCTTTATGGTTATTTTTCAAGAGTTGCGTCTTTTCAAAAAAAATTTTTTGCCTATTTATTTGTATTCTTTACTCATTTTCCTATTGAGCGTCAGTCACGAGTTTCATCATCTTTTTCTCAATCTTCACCACAATTCGTCCTCAAAGAACGTCACTCTCGAGGCCGGAATTGGTCACTCATCGTCGTTGTCGAGGATGAAAATAACAACAAACAACAATGTATTGGTTGGTGGAGTATCAACGCTCTGGTGGACAAGTCGGAGGAGACATCGTTTATCGTTGTTGACGTGGCAGACCACAGAGATCTAAAAACAACCCTAAACCTCCAATTGATTACTTGTATTTAGATGCTAAATTTTACTACCAAGTAGTAGCATTAAGACTACTTCAAATAAGTTGAAACTTTAAGTGTTATGACATTTACACAATCTTGTAATGATTACTTTATTAATACTCTTTAACATTTTTAGGCATTAAAAACTGTTTACATTAAATTTATAGGAAAGAATGGACGACTATGTATAAAGGAACCAATTAATAGATTAATGAAATATGGAGATTGTAAAACTTGGGTATGATTATTAACTTATTAGAAACAAAGAGAAAGACATTGGTAGTAAACATCATTTGTACTCAATTTGTTGCAAACAAGATCTAAATTGTTTCTTCTTCATTACATATTTTTTCGTAAGTTTGATTTGAGTTCAATTTGAGAGATGATTATGGGTTTACGTTGACATGCATGCGTATCAAAAGTAAATTTTATCTTTGGTTGTTTTGACAACAAATTTTTGAAAAAAAAAATAGTTGAAGATTCTTTATCCCTGCGATTTCGCAGGGGGTTCGAGTCCTACTAACTACAATGGTAGCTTTGTCTTGTTTTAATGTTTGGTGTGTTGTTT